ATTAGGATATGTGATAAACAGATACGGTAAGATGTTATAGAATCTAGGTGGGGGTATATGGGTATCATCTGTATAATTCTTCCAACTTTGCTACATGTCTGAAACTTTTTATAGTAAAATATCGTGGGGGGGGGGGAAACCTAAGTCTGATCATGTGACTCCTCTGCTCAGATCCCGTCCATAGCTCTTCATCTCGCCCAGAATAAAAGTCCTGACAACGGCCTCCAAGCAGGATGGCCACACATTTTGGTTATCACAGGTTTCACTTGTTGCCTGGGCATAATTATTAATACATCCTCTTTTATTCTCAAAGTTTGACTGCCATATTATGTGACTGCTGTGCCAATGAGGCCCTACATGACCTGACCTCACTTCCCACTGCTCTCTCCCTGCCTCCCTCTGCCCCCTGCCGCACCGATCTCATTTCCAGGCACACTCCCCCTCAGGGCCTTTGCACTGGCTATTCTCTTGGCCTGGAATGCTCTTCCTCGAGAAATCTGTATGGCTCTCTTCCTCACTCCTTCAAGCTTTTCTTCAAATGTTTCCTCAGTAGGAGGATCTCCCTATTTAAAATTGCAATCTGCTCTTTTCCCATCTCCCTGACTCTATTTTTTTTTTAACAAGATACTTATAACTTCCTACAGATGGTATAATTTATTGAAGGTAAACTCTGCGAAAGCAGAGATTTTTTCCATTTTGTTTATGCTTTATTCCCGGGGCCTAGAATAGTCCCTAGCAAACAGTTAAGTGCTCAATAAATACATGTTGCTACGAGTAAAGGAATTCTCCTGCCCTTGTTGAGCTGGCAGTCTGGCACCAAAGACCGAAGCCAACATAGACCATCACAAGGCAATACCTGATGTTCCGTGAAATGGCAGAGGAGCAGGCAGGGGGCGGGACAACAGAAGTCACCAGGAAGCCAAGCTTGGAAAAAAAAAAAAAAAAGAGTGCATTCCCCCAGATGAAAAGAGGATAAGAGGGGCGCTCCTGGCCGAGCAAAAGCATGAGAAAAACCCCACAGGTGAGAAACAGCGAGGTGCGATTGATTATAAGCAGTTCTCAGGGGAGCGGTGCAGGGGTGGGGTGGAAGGGGCAGCTCCATCCTGCCAGGAAGGAGGACAATGGCTGGGTTTTCGCCCAGGGCAGTATCGGTGGGTTTCTGAGACTGCCCAGCTGCTGGGTGGAGGACAGACTGCGGGCGGGCAAGAGTGAAGCGGGAAACCCACCAGGAAGGCAAACAGGAGGCCCCTAAAGAAAGGGGCAGATGGGGGAGTTACTCAGGATAGAGACTTGCCCATGGGACTCTGACTTCCGGGCACTCCAATCTGGGCCAACTCTGGGGGACTGAGGGGCCATTTCTGGGTACAGGCGATGGGAGGAACAGGTTGGGAGGGGGAGGAGGAGGCCGAGGGTCTGGGCATCCCAGGGGTCTTTGAGTCTATAAAGGGAGGGTGCAGCACTTGGATGCAGAGACTTGGGAGCCATTCATTCCAAAAGTAGGTGGATCTGGCAGGGAGCGTTTATGAAGAGAAGAGCTAGGCCAGGACAAGAGATATTTAAGGGATCAGGAGGAGAGAGTGACAGAGCAGAAGAGAATGGGGGAGCACCAGAGGCCAGGACCTCGAGAGCCAGGGGTGGAAGAATTTCCAAAAAGAGAGCGTGGATATTGGGAGGGGGTGGGAAGAGCGGAGGCAGGGAGGGCGTGGTAAGGTGATGACTGGGGGGCGGGGGGCGCCATGGAAGAAGTGGATTTTATTTTTTTTTGAAAGATTTTATTTATTTATTTGAGAGAGAGAATGAGACAGAGAGAGCGTGGGGGGGGGGGAGGGTCAGAGGGAGAAGCAGACTCCTCACTGAGCAGGGAGCCCGATGTGGGACTCGATCCCGGGACTCCAGGATCATGACCTGAGCCGAAGGCAGTTGCCCAACCAACTGAGCCACCCAGGCGCCCCAAGAAGTGGATTTTAAACCAGGTCACAGAGTGGATCACAGAGCCGGAGGGGGCAGGCCTGGGAGTGGGGACAGACTGCTGGGGTCTGGGGCCAAGAGAGGGACAGGAATGGGGGTGACTCAAACCTCAGCCTTTCAAGTGTGCTCAGAAATGGACTCTCCTCCCCAGTCTCACCAACAGGCAAGTCTCTGGCCTCTATCCCTACACCCTCGTATCCTCGTCGGTAAAACGGAATAATAGGAAAACGGCTGTCATTTATTGAGCGCTCACTATGTGTCAAGCCAAGGACACTCCCTCCCCACGTACTTCCTCATCTAATCCTCACAACACTCTCACCAGGCTGATGTTAATATTATCCCCAGTTTACAGATGAGAAAACCGAGGCCCACAGAGGTTAAGTCACTTGGCTCAAGGTCACAAGCGAACGAATGGAGATGCTGGTATTCAAACCCAGAGCCTGTTGTCTGGGCTTTAACACTGTACTACTAACCCACAGAAGGCACTCTGCAGTTTACAGAGCACTCACGTCACCTCCTGCGGTGGCTGAGGGGACTAGTGAGAGGACCTCCACACCCAGAAAATGCTGAGATTATTACCACATGTAGCAGGCTGGATAATGGCCCTCTGAAAAGGCCCACGACCTAATCCCCGGAAGCTGTGAATGTTACTTTACATGGCAAATGAGATTTTGCAGGTGTGATTACGTTAAGGGTCTTGAGAAGAGTCTCCTGCATCATCCAGGTGGGTCCAATGCAGTCCCAGGGTCTTTAGAAGAGGGAGGCAGGGGAGGCAGAGACAGAGATGTGATGATGGAAGAAGAGACAGAGATTGGAAGAAGCCATGATGAAGACGTGAAAGGGAGGGGAGTGGTGGGGAAGGGAGGGAGAGGGGCCCAAGTCAAGGAATGTGGGTGGTGTGTAGAAGCTGGGAAAGGCTGGGAAACAGATACTCCCCTACAGCCTCTTGGAGGAACCAGCCCTGCTGATACCTTGACTTTAGCCCAGTGAGACTAATTTTGGACCTCTGGTCTCCAGAATGGTAAGATAATGAATTTGTGTTTCTTTAAGTGACTAAGTACACGTGTGGTAATTTGTTGCAGCAGCAAGAAGAAATGAATATACCACGTCACTCTACATTTGGCTCCCCTGGCCGGCCCTGGCTCAACTATTACAACCTTAGCTGCTATCAGGAAACAGCCCTACATTTTAAAATCGTTCTTTAAAGTTCCAGTTTGGTCCCTCTGAACCTTTTAGCCTTTGTTAAAAATAAAAACAGGGCTAATACACCTAACTCTACCACTTTGCCAGGCACAGAGTGCAGGTACCTTACATTATTTGAAGGTTCCCAAAACCACTAGGGCAGATGAGCCCTAGTTATTGTCCCCATTGCTCAGATGCACAAACTAAGGCTCAGAGAGGGGAAATGGCATGCATAGAGCCACATACCTAGTGAGTAACAGAGCCAGGATTTGAACCAGGACTTCTTACTTCAGATCTACCACACTGAGGTTCCTATCTCACATTCTGCCTCCTCAGAGAAGCCTTCCTGGATAGCCTCAGCACATTCATTTACTCATTCATTCACCAAACAGTTGCTATGGCTGCTCTATGCCCAATGTGATCCTAGATAAGGCTAGGGACTAAGATCGGCCCTCGGGAGCTCAAAACCTAGTGGACAAGACAGACACACAAATGAGCCATCCCAAACAGCCTGATAAATGCCAAGACAAAGAGGAGGAGACACAGCAGGTGATGGAAGCCCAAAAGAAGGGAAACTGATTGAGCCAGGGATCAGGGAAGACTTCCTGGAGGAGGTGGTGATTGAGGGGAAGACAAGAAAGACTCGGCCAGAAGTGTGGGCAGGGGTTCCAGTGGAGGAATGGCTAAGCAGAGGCAGGGGGTACAATGTTGTAGCTTCTTGAGGGCAAGGAACAGGTTAGGTCAGACCCCAAAGTCCCTCCGAGCCTCTATGTTCCTGTGTATGAACGGGAATCATGGGCAGCTGCCCAGAGCTTGGGTAACTGCTGGGCCCAGGGGAGGGCTGAACAGGAAGAAGAGGGGTCCTGGGATTCCCAGAGGAGGGCTGAAGGTCAGGAAGGGTCAAAGGTAAGGGGACAGGGCAGGGTGGAGGGAGTTTGGGGAGGCAGGGTCCTGGCTCAAGCTCCCATTCTATGTCTGACTCCTGGTATGACTATAGGAAGGTCCCCTTAGAGCCTCAGTGACTCCATCTGAGAAATGGAGCATGAGACAAAACTGTCTCCAAAGACCCTCCCCAGCCCTGAGGGGAAATGACATGACACAAAATTACAAAAGGGTCTTTATTTGTAAAAAGCCAAAGGGGCCCTTGGGGCAACAGGACAGGCAGGCCAGCTTCTCAGGGGTCAGGGGCATTTGGGCAGATGCGCTTGAGTGGGGGGGCGCCCTCCGAGTCCTCTGTGTCACCCTGGGCTGCCTCGGGGACAGGTGGCACTGGCTCAAAGACGGGGTAAGCTTCAGGGGCCTGGAGAGGAAGGGCGGACAGGCATGAGCTCCACCCAAACCCAGGAGTGCAGCCTCCTAGCCTTTGCCTTCTCAATGCCTCCACTCCACTCCCCTCCTGGACCTAGGAGTCTGGTCAGGGACCCAGGAAGCAGATTAAGTAGGGCACTAGAAACCACAACAACACCGTTTTGGGAAAAGAAGGTGATACTTGATATTTCTGGAAAATGCATCAAGGTAGTCCTTGTGGGAAAAGTCAGAAGTTGTAGGGGACTGACTCTCTTAAGCTGATTTGATAGTTTAGGACTAAAATAAAATAAAATACTTGGAGGAGCACCACAATCTTTTCAGGCTTTTAATGGTCTTAAATCCGCCCCGATCCAGCCCACAGGACTTTGTCTTAAAGCACCCTTTCCTTTTCCGTCCCAAGAACCCAGCCTCTGAGACTTGAGCTGTGCCTGAGGTCTACATTTCCTGCCTGGACCTCAGGAGGGCAGCCCCCCAGCTGTTAGCTGCCCCAGAGCCCCCACTGCCTCAGAGACCCGGGAGTCCAGCCTTCTGGCCTCTCTCACCTCAGCCTCCAGCAATTCTGGAACAGGCTCCTCCTTGGTCAGCATTGGGGGTTCATCGGTGCTGCCTGCAGTTACGCCCCCAGGATCTGGAACATCAAGTTAACAGACATTCCCTGAGCCACTGCTCTGTGCTACAGCACAGGCCCAGGCTGGGGGACACTGAGGAGGGAGCTGGGAACCTGGCTGCAAGCCAGGAAGAAGCCACAGGAAGGACATGGAAGTGGGATCTTGACAGATGAGTAGGATTTGATCAGGGAGACAAATGGGGCACATTTTAGGCAGACAGAACATATGTTTAGTGAGTACAGATTCTGAGACTGGACTCCCTGGGTTCAAACCTGACCTTGGGCATGTGACTTACTTCCTCTGCGCCCCAGTTAACCCATCTGTAAAGTGGGGATAATGATAAATAATTACCACATGAGACTGTGGTAAGGATGAAATGAGATGATACAGGTAAAGCCCTTAGTACAGTATTTGGCACATAGTAAGTGCTCAATAAATGCCTGCAGTTTTTACATTAGTAAAGGTACACAAGTGGGTGGCACAATCTAGACACAGCCCATAGGCCCAGGTCATGGTATTCTTGGAAAGGAACAATGAGACCAGCAGGGGTAGTTCACAAAGGGTCCAAAGTACCAAGTAGAGGAGTCAAAGGCCATAGGGAGCCATTGAAGGCTTTGAAGCACAAAAATGAGCCTGCCAAATTTGTGATTTAGAAAAAATTGCTCTGGCAGCTGTGTCGAGGTGACCGGGGGAGAGGAGACCCATAAGGAGGCTGGAGCCTGGGGTGCCTGGGTGGCTCAAGTCGTTCAGCATCTGCCTTTAGCTCAGGTCATGATCCTGGGGTCCTGGGATGGAGCTCCGCATCGGGCTCCCTGCTCAGCGGGAAGCCTGCTTCTCCCTCTCCCACTCCCCCTGCCTGTGTTCCCTCTCTCGCTGTGTCTCTCTCTGTCAAATAAATAAATAAAATCTTAAAAAAAAAAAAAGGAGGCTGGAGCCAGGTGGGGGGAAGAGATGGCTCTTATAGGAAGGTAGACACATTTGGGAGGTAGTTCTGACCAGGCAGGGGATTGACTATATGGAACAAAGAGGAGCTGAGGAGGAATTATGCCCAAGATGCTGGCTCACTGGCTATGTGAGCTTGGGAGACTTAATTCTCTGGGTTTCAGCTTCTCATCCACATATGAGGATCATAACCCTCATAGGGTTATAGTGAGCATTAAATGAGCTAAAACATGTTCAGTGCTTAGGATATCCGGCACACAGAGCTCAATAAGTCCTAGCTGTTATTTTCACTTATTAATCACCCTCAGGAATATCACTATTATTTACTCCTCAACAAATATTTATTGAGCACATTCTATGTGTCCCATGTTGTTCTGAGGATTCAATAATGAACAAGAGCAACATGGGCCCAAGGTTCAGGAAGCTGACATGAGGTGGGAGCAGGGGAAGAAATCTGAGTAGTAAAAAATAAAATTTACATGAAAATCTCAGACGGTGATGAGTTATCTAAAGACCCAAAGAAGCCAGATGAATGAGACAGTCACTGGAGGTAGGTCGGTGACTTTCTGCAGGAGTCAGGGAAGGCCTCTGGGAGGGGAGAACACAGGAGAGTAGGTGTAGGTAGGGGTAAGCTGGTGGCTTCAACTTTGCAGAAGACTCAGACGAGAGGGCTGCAGGGAGTCACCTAGTCCTACCTCTCTCTTGGCCCAGCCGTGGGGGCTGAGCATCCTCTGGGACCCCTTCTGGTGGTCCAGCAGGTGACACAGGGCGGCTGGGCTGGGGGGTGCCCCCAGGGCTGGGCTCGGTGCCCTTTTGCAGAGAGCCTTCCGAATGGAAACTCTGGTTACTGTTCTCATCTGTGGGAGCAAAAGCCAAGAAGTTTGGGCCTGAAGGTCTCAATCCCCTCCTTCAATCCCCCAGCCCACACTGCCCCCCGAAATCCCAGGATTCCTACATACCATTGAGATCCAGCAGGATGAGAGGGCCGCCCCCTCGGGGACTGGCGCCCCTGCCCCGCCGTTCCCGGCCTCTGGATCTCTCTGCCCCGCCACCTGCCCTCCGTCGCTCCTGGGGGTTAGAGGGATAAGGGTCAGTGACAGTTTTCCAGTTAGTACTTACAAAGCCCCCACTGTACAAATAAGGAAACTAAGGCACAGAGAAGCAAAAGGCCCTGCATGAGGTGACAGAGGTTGGCACCACACCGTTGGGTTAGGTCTTGAACTCTGGGGTCTGAAGCAAGAAAAAGGGAGAAGGGGGTGGAGTTGCTAATAATTGTTAACATCTGCTGCATCTGAGGTCTCACAGTGGGACTGGAGGTGGAGGCCAGCGTTGGGAGGGGCTCGCCTGAGGTCGCACAGATGAAAGGCCTAGTGTGGGAGAGTTTGCTCACCTCCTCCTGGGGGTCCACCACTGGCACCCACTTGAAGATACGAAGGGAAGTGTCGCCCACAGTCACCCAGCGCTTCTCCCTGTGGGAGGGTGGGGGGGACTGGGTCAGAGTTCTGAGGAGAGAACCCCTCCAGGTGCTGAACACATCAGGGGAGACCTGTCGAAGTGGGGGTGGTGCGGTTTTGCTAATGGGGCATATGGTTAGAAGGAGAAAGAGAGTCCTGCAGACCGCAGGCCATACACAGGGGTGCCTCTGGGGAGTGAGTACGGCTTGGGGGGCCATGGCTCTGCAGACCCCTGGGGTATACAAGGGAGCAAGGCTGAGGGCCTGGCAGGGAACCATAGCAAAGAAGATCCTGGGCATACTTGAAGGAAGAGTGTCAAAGCTTTAGGGGGCGGGGCATAAATGAGGGTACGGCTTGGGAACACGCTTTGTAGACCCTAGGGTGTAACCAGAACGGGGACAGAGCCCTGCAGCTCCAGGGCGCAGCTGGGGGGCACACCTAACACCTGGGGGCCACGGCTGGCGAAGGGAGGAAAGACGCATTTGGGAGAGTGTGGTCCCGCCAGGTCCCATCCCTGGCCCCCCGGGCAGCGCTCACCATCTCCGGACCTTCTCGATGGTCGCCATCACCTTCTTGATGTCATCCTTGGCCCGGCTCCGGGTCTCGGCCCGCACGGTCCGGCCGGCCATGCTGGCGGGACTGGGGCCGAGGCCGAGCCCGCGGCTGGGCCGCCTCCTGTCCGGCGGGCTCAGGCTCGGCGCCAGAGCCGGGCGCCGCTGTCTCGGCCTGCCGTCCCTCCGGGAGTTGGCCGCGCCCTCCCTCGCTCCCCAACGCCTCCGCGAGTCCCCGCCCCGTTTCCTGCTGCCGCGCCCCGCCCCGGCCCGTCCCCGGAGCGGCCCGGCTGCGCGGGCGGCCAGAGCCCTTGCCTGGAAGCCGGCCAGCCCCGCCCCGACCGGGCCCGCCCCCTCGGGGCGCCCCGACCGCAGCGCCCCCTACCCGCCGCCAAGAGGGAGGGTTGGGGACAGCTTGGCGCCAGGACTCGCGCGGCTGGGCTGAGGAGGTGCGTTCAGACCACGTGGGCACGGGGAGGAGGAGGGGGGCGCGAGAGGGTCACTGTCCTGGCCAGCGTCCTCTGCGCGGGGGCGGGGGGCGGGGGGCGGCCCCGAATGCTGTGTGCAGGGTGTGTGTCCAGCCTCGCCTGGCTGTCACTCCCGCACTGTCCTGGTCTTCCTCCAGCCATTCATTCAGCGGTCTATTCACTGAGTGCCCATGACGGGCCAGACGCTGCAAATATGAGTAAGTCTCCACCCACCAGAATGGCTAAAATGAGAACGACAGACCATATCAAGTGTAGACAAAGAAGTAGAGCAACTAGACCTCTCATGTTTCTGGGGGAGTGGAAATGGGTAGAGACGCTTTGGAAAACTGGCAGTTTTCTAGAGGAGCTGAACTCACACGATCCAGCAATTCCACTCGTAGGTCATTAACACCCAATAGAAATGCGTGGGTATGAGCACCAAGAGATGTGTACTGGAATGTTCATAGCACTGTCGATAGTGGCCTCAAATTGGAAACGGCCCATCAAGAGGAGAGTGGAAATGAATTGTAGCCTGTTCATACAGTGCACAGAACAGAGAAGTGATGTCCTGCTACACAACAGGGACATGTCTCACGAAAGAAATCAGATACATCAGTACACACTGTATGATTCCTGTTATATGAAGTTCAAAAGAGACAAAACTAATTTGTGGTGTGAGAAGTCAGGATAGTGGTCACCCTTGGAAGAGGCTAAAAGGGAGCCCCTGGACCGCTCGTGTTCAGTTTCTTAATCTGGTATTCTGGTGCTGGTCTCCCCCCCCCCAGTATATTTACTTTGAATATTCATCAAATTGCACACTTTCCCCTATGTATATTATACTTCAATTAAAAGTTTACGTAAAATGAGTGTGTTTTGGTTGAGTTTATTTGAATTTGTGTTTGCCGGCAGATAGGACATGTGTTACTATGTGTGTGTGTTTCAAGGGTTTGGCTCTTGTCCCTGTGATTTGGTATGATTATGTCCAGATGGGTTAAGGTATAGGAGGGGGATTATGACCGAATTTCTGGAGCCAAACTGCCCCTGGGAAAATCCCAGCTCTTCTTGTCCAGTGACCTTGGACAACTCACTTATCTCTATTCCCTCAACCATAACATGAAAGTAAGTTAATATGTAACTCCTGAAACAATGCCTTGCACATAGTAAATGCCCAATAAATATTCACCGTTAATTAAGTGTGTGATTGTGGCCCCTACCAACAGTCTGGCTCCAAGGGCACCTGCTATGCTCTCTTCCAGTTAATACCTTCCTTTATTCTGGCAGTTGTCTGCTCATGGTAATATCCTCACGGAAGGAACACAGGCCTCCTTCCCGGTCCCTTCACTCACAAACCCCATTACCTGCTGTTGGTTATGGTCGCCTCCATCAGACTGTGAGCTCCTCAGGGGGCCAGAGACCAAGTATGGATCGTCTCTGGGTCCCAGAGCCCAGGACAAGTAGGTGCTTGGGAATCACTTATGCGTATAAGTGCGTGCAGACCTTTCATCGTTTATCTGCACCAGGTCAGTGGGGTTGACATGTCGGTATGACCCCCTGTACCTGACTCTGAAGCTTGTTTCCAGATGAGAATGAAGGTCTACATGCAGTAGATCAGAGGGATTCTCGGACTGGGTAGGGTGAAGGGAGCTGCTGTTATCTATTCCCCGTGTAGTAGGTGTGCCGAGAGAGGGCGAGCAGAAAGTCTAAGATAGGCCAGGAGGTATTTGTCTGGGCAGGTGTGGCCCAAGCCTGAGGGCCCTGGCGAGGCCTCTCTCGCACCCAGCTTCCTCCTTCCCCCCCAGACAGGAGGGAGGACCAGCACATTCCTGTCTTGCCCGCTCCACCCTCTCTTATCCACCGCGCCCCCCTCCCAGCTTTCTCCGAAAAGAAGCTCGCTCACTAAGCCTCGCCCCAGGTCAGAGCCTGAGCCTCCTCCTCCCGGTGGTACCAGGGCTGCTTCCCAGACCCCGGCACACTCAACCTCAAGGTTTTGAGCCCACCACGCAGACAACCTGCCAACCCTCCTCAGGCCCCTTTCCTGACTGGGCAGCGCAAGTAAGGAGCTGAGCTCAGAGCCAAGGAATCCAGCCTGGGGCGGGCGGTGGCGGGGGGGGGGGGGTTGTTTGGGGTCTGAGCCCTGATTGGCTGCGCCCGGGCCACGCCCCTACCCCTTCCCCCCCTTTTCCCCCCCTCGGAAGGGGGGCGTGTAGGCAACCGGGATCAGCCAGGGGCCAGCATGAGCCGGAGGGAGGGAAGTCTGGGTAAGGGGCTGAAGGACTGGATGTCGAATGCCCGAGGGGAGCAGGGGTCAGAAGGGCTGGAAGCTGGGGTCTGGGTCCCCACCACCCCCGGGTCCGGGAAGGGAGCGGCCTGAGCTGGGGAGAGCAGGGCCCCGGTGTCAGGTAACGAGCGGGTGAGCTGTGGGTGAGCTGTGGGAAGGGACAAGCGCCAGAGTTTAGCGGAGGCCTGGGCTGTGACTTCAGGGATCTGGGCTCAGGGTTTAGATCACAGGTTCGAGTACACCCTGGGAGAGAGGACTGGGGTCGCAGCTGGGGCTGGACGCCTGAATCCTCTAAGTATTGGGAAAGAATCAGAACTGGGGGCCAGAGGGAGGGATAGAGTTAGGGAAGGAAGTCTTTGGGCCTCAGGAGCTAATGAGTGACAACAGGAGACGAAAGTCGAGGCTGTTAAGGATAGAGGCAAGCGGTGGGAAACTCTGGCGCGGGGAAGTGGGGGCGGGGCGGGAGTTGCCGCGCCAGGACTACATTCCCCAGCATGCCTTGGCATGTGCGCTGGCATCTCGGGAAATGTAGTCGTCCTTCCGGGGCTCCACCCCCTAGTTTGCGCTAGGAAAGGTTAGTCATTGATGCTGCAGGTGTCCGTCCAGTCCAGCGTCTTGCACAGACTGTCCATCAGTTTCCCAATCTGTAGAATAGGTTTAAAGGAGCATTCCGTTTTGAAGTTCTGTGCTTCAGTGATGTTAAATTTCACCAACAATCAGTGATGCACGGGGATATGTGAAATCTTCCCTCAAAGGGTTCCCAGGCTAAGGCCGATTCACACAGATAAAAGAGCTGTTAAAAAAACAACCTTGGGAGTATGAACAAATGGCCTTAGGTAAAAGGAAAAGGTTAATTTAAGGGAGAGGAGAATCCGGAGGCCACACCGAGGAGGCAATATTTGAATTTGGCTTTAATAGGATTTAACAGTGATTTGGGGTCAGGGAATACATTTCAGATGGGACAACTGTTTGGCAAATGTCCGGTGCCTCGTTTACCATCAGTTGGAATGGGACAGAGGCTGCCTGGCTTAAAAGTTAGAGAATTCAGAGCAGAACTTGTGGATTCAGGAAGGAAGAGCCAGCCTGGAAGAAGTAGTCAAGGAGCAGCGGTCTGCGCTGCCCTCATTCCTCCCCCTTTTTCCCACCAGAAGATCCACAGGCTGACTCCTCAATCTCACCCCTTCCCCACTTGGAGGCCAAGATCCGTCAGACACACAGCCTTGCCCGCCTCCTCACCAAATATGCTGAGCAGCTGCTCCAGGAATATGTGAGTGGGAATGGGGTTGGGGGTGCCAGAGGCCTGAGGAATGGGGAAGTACAGATCACAGAGGTTCCTGACCACCCATTTTTCCAACCTCATTTCCCAGATACAAAAATTGGAGCAAACCGGAGGACTTTCCCTGTGCTCCAAATGCCCCTCGGTCTGCCTCAGCTTGGAGGTTCCCCCCACAGTGCATTAAGACAGAGGCTGAGGGGCGCCTGGGTGGCTCAGTCGTTAAGCGTCTGCTTTCGGCTCGGGTCGTGATCCCAGCATCCTGGAATCGAGCCCTGCATCCGGCTCCCTGCTCAGTGGGGAGCCTGCTTCTGCCTCTCCCGCACCACCTGTTTGTGTTCCCTGTCTTGCTGTCTCTCTGTCAAATAAATAAATAAAATCTTAAAAAAAAAAAAAAAAAGACAGAGGCTGAGAGAGTGAAAAGAATTCTGATCTGGGAGTCAGGAAACCTAGGTTCCAGGCTCTCTGTGATCTTGTCACCTCACTTCCATGGGCCTTGGTCTCCCCAGCTATAAAAGGAGACAGTTTAACAGATGAGTTGTGAACTCTTCTACCTGTGCTATGCAGAGAGCCCGAAAAGGGTTTCAGTCTGGGGCAAAAATTCCAGCCCAAGAGGGGACTTTAACAGAGGAGGGGATCTGCGAATATCTTTGGTTGGGCATAGGGCCTTGCCCAAGGAAGGAGGGTATTTCCATCAATTACTCTAGTGTAATGGAAGGAAGGTATAGGCCTGCTAACTTGCTGTGACCTTGGGCACTAATGGTAATATGAAAAAATAATGATGTAACAATTCTGAAAGTGGGGTAATAGAAAGAACTAGCTTTGTAGTGCTATGAACTTTGGTTCAAAATCCAGCTCTGTCCTTTCCCTAGGTGTATGACCTAGGGCAAGTCAGTTTACCTCGTCACGCTCCATATCCTCATTTGTAAAAATCATCATCATAATCATCACACCCATTTGGAAAGATTAGGAATAATGTGTTTAAAGCAGCAAACAGTGCCTGAACCAGAGACAAGATGTTAGCAAAGGATAAATGGTATTGTTGTAGCATTTTTACAAATTACAAATCTCCTTTAATTTTTTCGTTCATATAAGTTATTCATTGAGCCCCTGCTGTGTAGCAGACAGGTGCAGAGGTGGTGGAGGATGGGGGGAGAGAGTGAAACAGACCAGGTTTCTGCAGTATCTGTGTGATTCTCAGGCTGG